GGATGGATCTTCTCTGCTTCACAGTGTCCCCAGTTGGTATGACCCCAAGGTTGGGGTGGCTGGAGAGGCTGGGGATAGGCACAGTGGGGCTGGAGAACCCACTCTCTTCTTTACTCACTTCCTGATACTGGGCTGAGATGGTAAAAGACGGGCTCATCTGGGACTGTCAGCTGGAGCACGGCTATGTGGCCTCTTGATTATGGTGGTCTTAGGGTAGCTGCGAATTCTTACATGGCAGCTCAGGGCTCCAAGAGCAAGTGTATGCAGAGAAAAAGCTAGAAGTTGCATGGCTTTTTCTGACCAAGTCACACAACATCACCTCCACTCTATTGACTTAAGTCACAAGCTTGTCCAGATTTAAAGGGAGCAAACATAGACCCCCCACTTCTCCACGGCAGGAGTATCAAAGAATTTGTGGCCATGTTTTAAAACCACCACACTTCCTGTCAATTGCTTCGTCTGCCAGTCAGTATCTGCTGGTTCCATTAAAGGGGAACAGCTATGAGTACTGGCCCCTTGGTGGTTGGGCTCCAGAAGGAGTAGGACTCCATTCTGCCGAAATGAAACACAGCTCGAAACCCCAAGACTATTTCCTACTTACTCTAAGGGAGATTCATATTCTTCCTATTGACTTAACTTTGGATGTGCGTCTTCTAATTCTACTATTCCTACTATATTATGCTATGTTTGTTAGTTACCCATTGCTGCATAACAAATTACTCCAAAACTTAGTGTTAGAACAATGCCATTTATCATCTCATACTTTCTCTGGGTCAAGGATCTAGGCAAGGCTTAGCTGGGTCCTCTGGCTCTGGATTTCTCACAATGCTGCAGTCTTTGCAAGGGTCCACTGGGAAGGATCCCCCCTTCCAAGATCCCTCCTGTGATTGTCAGGGGATTCAGTGCCTGAAGGGCTCTTAACTAAGGCCTAATTTCCTTACCAGCTCCCTTTGTTCCTCACCGCAGGGGTCCTTCATAGAGCGCCTCCCAATATGGCGCTGGCTTCATCTAAAGCAGGCAAGAGAGAGGGCCAGCAAGATGGAATTCAGTCTTTTGTAAGCTAATCATGGAAGTGACATCACCTCAGGCTTCCATATTCTGTACCTTAGCAGGGAGGCCCTCACTAGGCCCAGCCCTCGGTCAAGGTGAGGGGATTACACAGAATATGGGTATTAGGAGTCACCGCCAGAGCTGCCCACAAGTGCTATGTGCAAATCCCCTCTTCCCTGACTTGGTTTTTAGTGTGGGTTCTCATGTTACTGACAGCACATATGCAGATCCAGAGATTTGCAATGTCCTTACCCAGAAAGGTCAGGTCTCGGTGGTGTGGTGATATGTTTCCCGGGGAGGGGATGGTGATTATGAAATAAGTTTCTTTTCACTGTGACACGTGATCGCTTTAGCATAAGAGATTTACACACACTTTTGTATACGCTTAGAACATTTTTTAAAAAGATTTTATTTATTTATTTGGGAGAGAGAGAGAGAGAGCACGCATGAGCAGGGGGAGAGGCAGAGAGAGAGAGAGAGAGAAAGAAACAGACTTCCCACTGAGGGCAGAGCCCGATGAGGGGCTCAGTCCCTGAGATCATGACCTGAGCCAAAGTCAGACGCTTAACCGACTGAGCCACCCAAGGCGCCCCTAAGCTTAGAACACTTGGGGACTGTGAACCCCTGGGAACCTGATCTCTGAGAAATGGGACCAGGAATGCGGGGAAGGGTCCCTTATATGCTTTACTTAATACCTTTCTGTACTGCTTATTTAATTCTCCATGTACATACATTTACTATAATTAAAAAAACAGTTAAAATTAACAAAGGGAAAAGTTAAGAACAGGGTAACCACTTAATTCAGAACGATTTCTAAATAACCCCATGTCGTGGGACAAAAAGGGGATCTAATTAATTACACATTTTTATAGTCTGAAAGTGAGGCACAAAGTAAAAAATGACAAGGGAACATGTCAAGTTTTCAGCGGTTGATTGTCCAGGCCGCAGATTTTGCAGACCAGGTATCAGCTGGCTTTTCAGGCAGAGGAATTTAAAAAGTGCTTTCAGTCAGATGAAGTACAAAGCACAGAATGTTCTGGACAGCTGGAAGCTGGGGCGGGGGGGTTCTCTAGCCTCTCCCAGCTGGAGCCCCCAGCCTGCCCTCTTCTCTCCCCTGTATTAACTCTCTCCGCAGGCCTGCAGACCCTCTCAGATTGCCTCCCTGAAAAGTCACCTTGCCTCAAACATGCTGGTAATATTAAGGTAATAAAACAGCATCAGATGTATGATGACAGTACCTGTGCTGAGAGCTAAACACAAACCTTAATTCCAGATGAAAGAAACACTAGAGCAACATGAAAATGTGTGTCTTCCAAAGAGAATGACTGGGTAAATGTCACTTTTCTAATTTTCTGATTTCTATGGCTTTTTTATCTTTAGTTGTGAAGTATGGCAGAGCACCTTGCTTGCCACTCCGTGCAGAACTTGGCCTAGCAAAAAACACAGCACGGGAGAGCTTGTTAGAAATAGCGTCCCAAACTTGGGTGCCTGGCTGGCTTAGTCCGTTAAGAGTCTGCCTTGGGCTCAGGTCATGATTCTGGAGTCCTGCCTTGTGCTCCCTGCTCAGCCGGTGATTTGCTTCCCTACCCCCTCCCCCCCCGACTCCCGCCCGCTTTCTCTCTCAAATGAATGAATAAAATCTAAAAAAAACCCAAAGGAAATAGTGTTCCAACCTTACTAAACTAAAATCTGCATCTTAACAAGATCCGCAGGTGATTCATGTATAAAGTTTAAAAAAACAATTGTTCTCAAACCTGGCTTCACATTGGAATCACCCACAGAACTTTAAAAATACTGAGGCCTGGGTCCCAACCCCATAAATCCTGATGTACTTGGCTGAGGTGAAGTCTGGCCAATGAAATTTTTTTTTTAAATCTTAGGTGATTCTAGGACTGTGAACCATTATGCTAATATAGTAGTTCTCTGAATGTGCGCTCAGCATACCCACTAAAGGAGCGCAAATTCTCAAGCCCTACCCCAGACCTACAGAACCTGAAACTCTGGGGATGGGGCCTGACAATCTTTTTGAGCTAGCCCTGCAGGCCATTTTGATGTGGGCTGACCTTGGGGAACCTGATAAGGTAGATGTGGGGTGACACTCCAAAATGTTCATTTCTTAGTTTCCATGTGTTGTAGGTGTGAGAGCCAACACTTATAGAAGCACTGGCCTAAACCCTCTGATCTATGGCTTGTCCAGAGCCACTCAGAGGGTCAGAACCTACTGTTTCTTTTCTTTGGCCACAAACTGCTCAACTGCTGTTTCTTCTTAGGTCTGAGGCCTACATGGCCCTTTTTACTCCCACTTTCATCAAATAGGCAAGCGTAAAAAAAAAAAAAAATACAGGTCAGTACCTCATACTAAAAATTTGTCCCTTTGCTCCTTTCTAGAAACTGCTCACACCTGCTGCCCGCAGGTACCCCCTGTGCTTCTAATGAGCCCTGTTGTGCCCACCCACACCGCCACAAGGGGCCCCTGCTCTGCTCCTCTCCGAGTTCAGTTGTAGCGTCTCCCTTGAAACCTATCCACCTGGTTCGAGGCCTGTGAACTCCTCTAAGGCGCAAAATGCCCAGGGTTCCGGAGCCTGCGGCCTTCAGAAGTGGTAAGTTCATCTACTCGGGATCTAGCAGAGGGTTCCTTGGGGTTCTAACCTGCTGCTGCCCGCCCTTGCTCCTCCACGAGTGGGAAGTCTACAGCGAGGACAGGAAAAGGCGACACCGGGGGCTCAGGAAGGGGGGATAGAGACGGTAAAGCAGGAGCTCCCAGCTGGAGGGTGGGGACAGTGACTGTCTGTCGTCCCCGTCCCCCGCCCGTCCCCCACAGGTCCCAGCCGCCTTGGGCCCGAATCTCGCTCCCTCCCCCATGAAATTCCGCAAACCAGCTCCCAACCTTTTCCCTTCCCCTCCGAGGCTTTGCTCCTGTTCCTGGAGGTGGGGCACGTAGGGGTGGGGATTGTCCTGGGAATCGCCAGGGTGGAGGACACTGGGCAACGGCGGGGGAGGGGGTGGCAACCGCCCCTTCGGTTTTGAGTCTCTCGCAGCCCAGGGTGGTGCCGGAAGCCCGTTTGTGCGGCCTGGGAGGGGAGGGTGCTCGTGGGTCCTTGCAAAACGCCGCTTCCCGCGCGACCACGTGAAGTCCTAGGTGGACACACAGGCACCCCCTTGCATGACCTCAACCAGCGAGTTGCGGAGTCCGCGCCACCGACCGCCTTCCAGCTGCTGCTGGTTTTAGCCGGCGCGCTCCGTCTCGCGCTCTCCCTGTACCGCTTTCCCCCACCGCACAGCGGGACTGGCGTGTCCCTGGTGGCGCAGCGCACTCCCCAGCGCTTCCTGAGCTTGGTTCCGTGCCGCCGCGCGGAGACACGGGTTCTGGCTTTAGAACCAAGGCAGGAACAGATCCGAGGTGGGCTCGCGGGGTCGGGGAGGGGCGTTCCGGGCTGGCGCCCCCCCCCATTCCCCGGCGCACCTGCCCCCAGGGCGGGGCGGAGCGGGGCGGGGCGCGCTAGCGCGCAGGTTGCCGGCCCGGACGCTGGAGGGGGCTGTGGCTCTCTCGCTGTCCCCGCGGCTCGGGCGGCGCGGCGCCCCAGCTACCCCCGCCCCCCCCCTCCGCCGAGGGGCCGGCCCAGGCCCGGGGAGGGGCGCGATCGCCTTCACTTCCCGCTCGCCGGCCTCGGAGGCGGCGGGTCCGGCGCGGGCGCAGGGCTGCGGGCGCTAGGCTGGGGCGCAGGGCGGGGACGCGGCCGCCGCCCGCTTTGCGCCGCTCCTCCCCGCGCGAGTGGCTCTCGGCCCGGCGTCGAGGCGGCCATGGCGACCCTGAGCCCGCTCCCCACCCACCCCGCCTGCTCCGCCCTCCCCTCCGCCCCGCGCCACCTTTGATGGCTCGGACCTCGGCCGGCCACCCCCAGCCCCGCTTGCGCTCCCGCGCCGCCGCCGCCCGCGGGTATTAATAGCCGAGCGCCCCCGCTGCACGAGCAGCCCGGAGCCGCCGCGCCCTCTGCAGCCGGGGGTTCGGAGCTGCTGAGCCGGGAGGCCCGGAGTGGGAGCCGGAGCCGCCGGCGCCGTGGAGGTAGGAGGCGCGGGGCACACAATGACTGCGGCGGGGCGGGCGGGCGGCAACTTGTGCGAGTCGGGGCGCCCGGAGCCGACCCGCCGGCGGGGGGCGCGGGTGGAGGTGGGTGCGTGCCCGCGGGGTCCTGCCCGGAGGAGGCGGGCGGCGGGTGGGATCGTGCTCCCGCCCGCCGGGCCCGGGGCAGCCCCGGCAACAATAGCAGGAGCTCGGGGGCCTCCGGGCTCCGGGCCACCGTTTGCACTCTTCTCACCTCCGCGGACCCGGGCAGCGGGGCTCCTCGCGCGGCCCCCGCCGCCTCCCCCACCCCGCGGCGCCCTTCCCCCCGCTTTCCTCCCATCCCACCCGGCACGGTGACAGCGCCGGACGCCGCTTCCGGACCTCCGGCCGTAATCTTGGCCCCAGAGGCGGATCGAGGGGCCGGGGAGGTGGCCACTGGCTTGGGTGCCACGGCGCCGGCGGGTGCCAGCCGCTCGCCCACGCGCGGCGTGAGCACCCCGGTAGGTGACAAAGAGGAACACACCCTCCACCTAAGTTAGATTTTTGTCTCTCTTTACCGCCTGCCTTTATGGAGAGCAAAGTTTTTTTTTTTTTTCCTTTCAGGCAAAGAACACAGATTTTTGTGGTGAGCGTTTCAAAAACAACAACTTCTGATTGTGGTTTTACGATTTAAGTTCCGGAAACTTTAGCTGTGTGATCCGGCCAGACCCTTGAGTGAGTGAGTGTGTGTGCGTGTGTGTGTTTTATTGGGGGGGGTGAGTTCCCCGTCATCATTCTGGATTTGGTTTGTCGTTTTCGTTGGGGCCCGGCGGTTGCAAGACCCCAGAAAGGAGAGAGGTGGGGCTCACAAAGGAACGAGGACCCTGCTGTCGGATCAGCTTCTTGAGAGGTGGAGAGCTTGCCTCTCGTCCGGAGCAGTTTAGGGGTCTGAGCCTGTCTGTGGGCCTTCTGGAGTACCATGGTGGCCTCTGGCTGTTTCATTTTATTATTGTTGAGTGCCTTTCTTGTTAGCTTCGCAGGTTTACTCGCTCCTCCAGCCCTCCCCGGTTTCCCGCTTCCCCCATGCCTTGACTTTGTTGGACCCCTGTCTTCCCACCCAGCAGGCAGTCTTCGGAGAGCCAAACCCCTTAATGTGTTTTACACGTGGTGACTTGCCAAGCCCATTTCGGAACGGCCTTCAGCATTGTCCTGATTTTCTTATTCAGTCTAAACGGGAGAGGAGGGAGACGGGCCTTTTTGGTGCTGAGAGCTTTGAGGGAGTTGCCTTAAAATTTGCCCTCATTGTTCCGATGGGGTGGGCCCTTCTGATATCTCCTGTCTCTGGCTTTCTTCCCTCCTTGCACAGCCTGCCGGCTGGGTAGGTTTACCCTCAGCCTTTCCAAAGGGTTGGTCTTCTGGTGTGTCAGTTTCTGACGATGCGCTTCCTATGTGGGTTCAGCATCCACATGGCTCGCTTTATATTCCTGCAGCATCGTTCTGCAGCAAGGCACCAATATTGGAGTTACTCCAAGCACAACAAAACGTTTGTGTTTTTAGAATGTCTGGCTAATAGATCTGCCTCTGGGTGAAATAAATAGACATTATTGGCCAGTGGCTGGCTCACTGGGCGAAGCGTTGGTGGAGATACTGAGTTGATGCCTCCCTAGCCCAGGCCTTCCCAGAATCTCTTGTTTCTTTTATGTGGGCAGGAAATTTGAAATAGTTGAAGATGATGTAGTTGTGCCCTATAGGATCACGGATTCCGTAGCGTGCCCCTTGTGAGTTGGTGCATGGTTGTTCATTTAGGGAGTCTGTCCCTTGGGAAATCCTGGAGTTAGGTTTATAATGCCCCTTTTCACATTGATGGTCTCTTCCTGGAATTTGTATGGTGATTGAATCCCTTGGGTCATAATAGAACACTAATGCTACTCTGTAGCCAAATTTACCAAAAGGAGATTTAAAAAAAAAGAAACCTAGACAATTTTCTTCTGGCGTATTGCATTTATTTTATAATTATTTTGAGTCTGAAAGGCATCTGGATGGATGTTTGTGTTTTGTATTTCATTAAAGAAACTGTCCAAGGGAAGTTAAGAATTAAATATAATATTGAAAGGGTTAGTTTTTTAAAAAGTGGAATTCATCCTCTCCACCTCAGCGAGCGCAGCAAGAGTTTAATTCATTTGGAAAATGACACAAATTTTTAAGGAGTGTGCGTGCGATAACCATTCCAAGAGAAAAGCTTTTTCCATCCTTGACGAGGTTAGAGACCACTGGAGAAAAGGCAAGTGCCCAGTCTTTGTGTGTGGAACGCTCTATAGGAAAGGTGACATTGTGGTTTTTCCCAGAGGATGGGGGAAGTTTGGTGGATGTGTAGGTCCTGGGCTAGTGATTTTGTGGCCTAGAGAACCAGGCATTTGAAACCAGCCCTTTTGTAACTGGCCTGGCTTATCGCAGAGAACTGCCTTGTGTTTTTGAGAGTAAGGAAAGATGCTCCAGAAAGGAGAGAGGCCCCTATAATCTCTGAATATAGTGGCTGGCTCGTCATTGCCACTTTGGGTGCACGGGTTTTTCAGGTGTTGGGTGCACAGGTGTTTCAGGTGCTGGGTGCCATTGCCTGGGAGGGGAAGGGCCAGGCTTTTGGGTTCCTGTGGCTGCCCCTCTCCTGCTGTGGGGTGCTTTCGATTGAAAGGGCTCTCCTGAGCCTGGCTATTGAATGGGAAGCGAGCGGTAGGTCAACTTCTTTTTTTGGCTTTTTAATGGGTAGGGTTTCTGCTGCGGCCCCTGCTTCTGCCGGGTTACCCCGTTAACCACTTCCACATGTCCTGAAAGATCAGAGCCCGACGGTTTCCATTCAGATCACTCGAGATACTGATTTCACCAGCCTTTTTTATGCCAAATGCTGCCTGTGTTTTTACAAGAAGCCCCCGGAAGGTGTTTATTTTTAAGTGGAGAAACTGGCTTTTTTAGGCTGCCCTTGTCCTAGTTTAAGGCAGTTAAAATGTGTGCCAAGTGGATACTCTAAGCAAAAGTGGGCACTTGATCGATATGAAATATGGTGCTCTCGGCTTTTGATATTTGTGAAATAAGCCAGGGAGGATCAAGTACAACGTGACTGAAACTGAGTGCACGCGCGGTGCTGGCTGTGAACCCAGCTCTGGATGGCAGTTTTCTTATTTTAACGGGGGTTGGAAATACTAGACAAAGTAAGATTGGCAAATAAATGAGGTGGGAATTCATCATTTGCACTGAATTAATTTCATGTGTAAAGTTGTCATATTTGTGCATACATTTTCAAACAAAGGAGCCATGGGCCAAACTAGATTGCTTTCAACTCTACTACAATATTTCTTACCACAAGAGTAACGTTGCGCTGTACACAGACTTTGGCTTCCCGTCAAGGTATCTGGTAAAAGAAGACTTATAAATCCAGTATCACGGTGAGTTTCATTTTTTGTTCTCATCCTCTTAACTCAGGATCTAGTATACGCCTGGCACAGAGCACTCCCTTGGGAAATACTTGGAGTGAATAAATAAACCTTGTTTTTGATGTCCTTTCCAGTTTAGTGTTTAAAGTTTTTTAAGGTTGCTGTTCTGGGAATTTGAAATTTGGTATTTGATTTTGTTTCCGTTTCATTCTAATTCAACAATTTAAATTAACCTTTAGGGGCACCTGGGTGGCTCAGTTAGTTGTCTGCCTTGAGCCCCACGTTGGGCTCCATGTTCAGCGGGGAGTCTGCTTCTCCCTCTCTCTCTGCCCCTCCCCTATGCTCGTGCTCTCTCTCGCTCTCTCTCAAATAAATAAAACCTTTAAAAAAAATTAACCTTTAACGCTGGGTAATACTGTGAAAAGATACAGCCTCGTTAAAAAGCAAAACTTAGACCTAAAAGCATGAAGAAGAAAGCAGAACTCCGGGAAGCTAGCCTCTGGGAAAATTTTCCTTCTTCCTGGCATATATTTTCTAGAAGTTTTATTAGTGAGCATCCGTTGGTGGTAATCTCTGTGTTTGTATGCCTTTAAATATCTTTGCTCTGGAACAATAAATGCCCTGGGTATACAATTCTGGATTGCTGTTGTATTCATCAGCTGTCTTTTGGTTCCATTGTTGTTGCTGCAAAATCAGCTGTCAGGCTGATTGTTTTTTGTGAGCAGTCTGTCTTTTCTGTCTGGCTCCCCCCTTTTTATTTTATTTTTTTTTAAGTAGGTTCCACACTTGGCGTGGAGCCCAGTGGTGGGGCTTGGACTCAGGACTCTGAGATCGAGACCTGAGCTGAGATCAAGAGTCAGGTGCTTACCCCACTGAGCCACCCGGCCGCCCCTCCCTCTGGCTGCTTTTAAGGTTCTTTGGAGTTCTGTAGTTTTACTATGTCAAGGTACAATTTCTTTTCTCCTTGACTTTGAGTCTCCCATCCTGTCCTCCTCTTGCTCTTCCCTCCCCCTCCCGACTCTCTCCTCTCTCCTCCTCCCTCCCATCCTCTTTTTGCCCAGTAGCATTTCAGGGTCAGGGCGTGCCACCGTGTGTCTACTCCTTCACCTTTGGCCGCTCTGCTCCTTTATTTTGGGCTCGCACGCACGAAAGCTGTGTGAACAGTTGTGAACAAGTCTTCGTGCGGAGTCTGTTTTGAATTTTGTCACTGGGTCCTATAATAAGTACATGCTTAACTTTGTAAGAAGCTACAGTCCCAAGTGTTGGTACCATTTTACATTCCCCAGGGACATCTGAGCATTCCAGTTACTGCAGTCCCCAGTAACACTGGAAATTGTCAGTCTTTGGCATTTTAGCCATTCTGGTGGATGTGTCCTGGTGACTCATTGTGGTTTAATTGTATATTTCCCCGATGGCTAATGATCGCTTTTCATGTGCTTATTGGCCATTTGTGTATCCTTTTTTGTCTATTAAATCTTTTGTCTTTTCAATTGTATTTTTGTCTGATCATTTTACATGGCTTTTGAGTGTAGACTGCACATCCTTAATGTCATCTTATTTTATAGTTGTGGAGATTCTTTATGTATCCTGGATACA